CACAAGCAACTGTAATCTCAGTCTGCCTGTCTTTGCTTCTCAACCCCTCTAATCTCCAGAGCACCATGTAATGTGGGTTAGTGCTACTGGAGCAAATCTCCAGGTATGGGTGTTTAGTAGTCCTGGGCTTCCACTCCCTCTCAGCTTCATTTCTCTTTCTCCCACTGGTGAGCTGGGGTGGGGGAAGGGCTTGGGTTCTGCTGGGTCCTGGCTTTGCTACTTTATTCTTTTCCATGAGGTCTTCTCTTTTCCCCAGGTGTAGGCCACCTGTTACAGTCATCTTTCTGGTTTCTTTTTCAGGATTAGTTGTATTTCCTGTATTTTCATGTTATGTAAGATTTGAGGAGTAGGTTTCTACCTCACTTCTCACACCACCATCTTGTTTAATCTGAAGGTAATGTTATTTTTAAGGAGTCTGCTCACTAATTTATTTTAGAAATGCAAATTGTTAACCATCTCTGGCTACTTTATTTTAATAGCAAGTTACACAGGACTTTATGTTATGAAATCAAGAACTCAGAACCAGAGCAACAAAGGGTTAACAGGCTGCAGAATATTCCATCATAAGATGGGTTTCCCTCATTCTGTTCCCTATGCATGGAGTCCCCTTCCCTGTGATATTTGCTGAACAAAATCCTAACTTCTTTTTTCCTAGCTTTGAGATGTATTTGACATATAATATTGTGTAAGTTTAAGGTGTACACAAGACGATTTGATCCATGTATATATTTTGAAATGACTGGCATGATAAGGTTAGCTAACACATTCTATTTTCAAGGCTTAACTCAAATGCCTCCTCCATGAAGCCTTCCCTGACCATGCCCCTCCATGAGTGTGTTGTGCTTCAATCTTGTCTTACACTAGGTCTGGTTCATATTACTCATTAACACTTAGAACTTATAATTTTTTTTAATTGGGGTGAAATTTACATAACATCAATTAAAACATTTTAAAGTGTACAATTTAGTACATTCTCAATGTTGGGTAGCCATCACCTCTAATTCTAGAATGTTTTCATCATTCCAAAGGAGACCCTGTACCCATTTAGCAGTCACTCCCCATTTCCTCCTCTTCTCAGATCCTGGCAACCGTTACTCTGCTTTCTGCCTCTATGGATTTACCTATTCTGGACATCTCATAAATGGAATCATACAATATGCGACTTTGTGTCTGGCTTCTTTGACCTAGCATAATGTTTTAAGGTTCATCTACACAATATTGTAGCATGTATCAGTACCTAATTCCTTTTTATGACTGAGTAACTTAGATTCTCTGGTGTGAATAGACCACATTTTGTTTACCCAGTCATCCATTGATGGACAGTTGGGCTGTTTTTACCTTTGGCTATTGTGAATAGTACAACTGTGAACATTTGTGTTCAAGTTCTTCAAGGAATGGAATTGCTAGGTCATAGGGTAACTCTATGTTTAACCTTTTGAGGGGATGCCAGGCATTTTAGCACAGTGGCTGCTCCACTTTACATTCCCAGCAGCAGTGTAAAGGGTTCCAGTTTCTCCATATCTGCACCAACACTTGTTATTTTCTATTTTTTTTTATAGCCATCCTAGTACGTGTGAGGCTCTTGGAATTTGGGGTTGTTTTTCTATTTTCTCTGTTCTCTCCCAATAGGCTGAACTCTCAATGGCTGGGATTGTGCTTTAATTTCCAGTAACATGGTGTAAGAGTTAATACATGGACTGAGCTTGTATCCTGTGTTTGCTTAGGATGTGATCTTGAGTGTGTCACTTGGCCTCTCTGAGCCTGAATCCTTTCATCTGTAAAATGGGAACTTTTAGGGCTGTTGTGGGGAAGAAATGAGATTTAACATTGGTATGTTGGGGGCCAGTGCCTGGCCCAGCCATGATTTCTCAATGAAGGTTTGCTATAATTATCATGACCTGACGTCCAGATGCCTAGGACTCAGTAACTATTGAATAAATGTTTGTTAAATAAATTAATGAACCCTTTGATATTGCTTGGTTAGCCCCCTTTTTGATTTCAACCAAATGTACCCCTAAATCCAGATGACCCTCTTATAAATTGATCACTCCCAAGGCGAGGCAGAGAGAGAGTGGCTGAATCATTGGGAACACTTCCCTGGAAAAGTACTATGTGAAAACCTTGGTAAATATGTGTTTGGGGAGGGGTGGGCTAGGAGAGGGCAGCAAGCTTGTATCCTACAAAGGGAGGGAGGAATAAAAGAGCTTTGCTTATTTTGAGATGAAAATATCCTTCTTAGAGAGGGGATGACTCTGAGAAGCTGCCCTGTTGCTCAGCGACCCCCCTGGGGAGGGAAAGCAGGCTCAGCTTGCTCCACTCTAGAAAGGACTCCAGGACCTCTTGGGTGATGAGTGCCCTTGACCCACCTCGCTCCTCCTTCCATTTTCTGTAGAGGTCACTGGCAGGTGGGCAGGCTCTGGCAGGATCAGCCACTGTGCAGCTTTCTTTAATGGATCCCGTGGATCTTTCCAGAATCCATCTCTTAGCACACTCTAGGCTCACTGGCCTTCCCTGTGCTTCTGGAACACACCAGGTTGATTCTCCCTCTTCCCACCCCAGCCCTTGCTCTTGCTGCTCCATCCGCCTGGGGTGTTCCCCTCCCCACCTCACAGGGCTCCCTCCTTTACATCCTTCAGGCCTCCTCAAGCCTCACCTCTCAGAGGCCTTGTCTGATCTCCCACTTACCCTGCCAGTTGCCATTCCCTCCCCCTGCCTAAGTTTTCTGATTTTCTTGCAGATCTCCCATATTTGACAAGTGCTAATATTCTGCCATATTTGCTCACTGCAGATGCCCCCTGCTTTTAATCAATTTTATTGAGGTATAATTAACATAAAACAAATGTGCACATTTAAAATATATAGTTTGTTGATTTGGGGCAAATGCATCTGGGTAACTGTGAAAATTCTGCAAGCTTGTATGCCCAGGATGGGACAGCAGGAATGTAAAGGGGAGGACAGGTAGGGACCTAGTGAAATGAAGGGGGCGGGTCCCATGTGGGTGGAGTGGGGTGCACTACACTGTGGCCAGATGTTGCCAGGTGCCTATATGGGCCTAGACTTGCCAGACCTTCCTCTTTTTCAAGAAAGGCAAGAAATCCATATTTTTAAAGAATGTGAAATAACTTAATTTTTGAGTTTTATAATAATTAGAAGTAGTTACTTGTTTAAACATGATGTGGGCCTAACAAAATGCATCTGTAGGCTGCCAGTTTGTAACCTCTGGGTTAATGTGCCAGTTATTTCTTGTCTGGGGACTAACTCATTCAGTACAAAATATGGAAATCTTTTTGTTGGAATGTTCATCCAGTCAACAAATGTTTATTGAGTATCAACTGTGTGCCAAGCTTTGTTCTAGAGCTGCCACTTGATATTTGCTGAAATGACTGACATCTGAAGGGATAGAGGTTGTGGGGTAAAGAGGCAGATGGGTGGATGGATGGATGGTGAATGGCATGAATAAAGAATGGATGGACAGACAGATAAACAGATCAATCTGATCTTTTAGAGATACTTACTCAAATATTACAGATAAAATAATATAGTGTCTGGGAATTACTACAGAATAATATGGGGAGTCGAATGAGGGTATAGATAAATCAAGATTGGCCATGAGATGATAATTGTTGAAGCTGAGTGATGGTGGATATGAGGAGATTCCCTGTATTCCTTATCTTTTGTCTTCTTTTGAATATGATTGGAAATTTCCGATATTAAAAATATTTGTTTTAATGTCCTTACTAGTTAGAGATGCACTTGAGAAGATATACAGGTAAAATGACTTGGTTTAAAATATGATCTAAAATTTTTTATAAGTCAGGGTGTAGATGTGTTATGGTCTGAGTGTTTTTTGTCCCCTCCAAATTCACATGTTGGAACCCTACTGCCTAATGTAATTGTATTTGAAGATGGGGGTCTTTGGGAGTTAAGTCATGAAGGTAGATCCCCCTATGAATGGGGTTAGTGTCATATGAAAGAGGCCCCCGAGAGCCCCCGCCCCTTCCACTGTGTGAGGACATAGCAAGAGGGCCCTCACCCACCCGTGCTGGCCCCCCCGATCTCTAACTTCCTGCCTCCAGAATGTAAAGTACCCAGTTTGTGGTGTTTTGTTGTAGCAGACTGGATGGATGACAGTAAAAAATGATGCGTCCTTCAGCAAAATGTTGATAATTATTCTAACTGAATGATAGATATGGAGATTCATTATACTAGCCTACTTCATTTGTATATGTGGTTGAAATTTTCTACAGTAAAAAATAATTTTTAAGGGACAGAGACACGGGGGGATAGGTAGAAAAGTGAGGGGAATGGATAGAGAAGTGAGAGGAATGGGTAGAGAAGTTGGGAATGGGTACTCTTTAACAAGGGATGTCACAGGCAAGTGTTGCCATGGTGAGGCTAGAAGCATGAGCTCTGTTGTGGACTACAGATTGAGAACAGATTTGTCACCCAGATAGTTGCTCTGGAGGATACTCTGCCTCCCAGGTATCCTGCTGGGAGGCTGAATATGCTGGGATGCTGAATAGCATAGTGGTCAGAGGATCTGGAATCGGCCTCTCTGGGTCCAAATGTCAGCACTTCTACACCAGCTGTTATGCTGTTTAAATATTAAATGTTATTTAACCCCTCTGAGCCTCACTTTGCTCATCTATCAGATGGGAGTAATGATATATCACAGAGTCATTATGAAGACTGAAGTAATTACATGTCAGGTGCTTAGCACAGTGCTTGGTATATAGCTTTTATTTATTATCATTATTGATACATTTGTTACTCTGCTGTTGCTGCTATTAAGTGTTGTAAGAGCAGAAAGAACTTACCGATAGACAGAAAAAAACTAATTAGAGGCAGAGACTGTAAGAAGTCAAAGAAAGAGGCACCCACTGTCAGCTGATCCACCCACAGAAACCCATTCGTGAGCTGCTGAAATCAATTTCCTGCATAGTAGGTGCAAAAGGAATATAAGAAAAAAGCAACTTCCTGACCATTACCTTCCTCCTCAGAATGAAGTAGAACTGGGGGAGCTGCTTCTGTCACTGAATTATCTCCCAAGTGCTGGGAGACTGAATGTCGATGTCATTCGAGCCAAGCAACTTCTTCAGACGGATGTGAGCCAAGGTTCAGGTAGAGTGCAATCCTCTTCTCCTCCCATTTCTTTAATGAGCCATGTTTGTTTGATCCAAGGGACCCACCTTTTTTCTGGATCTCCGACACTATTAATAAGACCTTGTGAGGGTAAATAGCAATCAGAAGTAAGATATTAGGTCAAGAGAGAAAATAAATGATTGGATATCTCTTAAGATGAGGCAGATAAGCAATGCCATTTCACTAACCCCATTTGAATTGGGACTTGATGGAGACCAAGTGTGGTAAATCCTGAACACGAGATCCTCTTTATACTCATGCAGCCCCAAGGAAATGACTTGCTTTTCCAGAGGCTATGCCTGCAATGAAGACACCATGCTCTAGGTGGTGGTAGTGCGCATTGACCGTGCATTCTCTTCAGCGAAAGAGTGGCGGACACACCCTGAGAGTTTCTTCCCAGCTCATTTTAAGCATACTGTAGGCCTTTATAAATCCCAGCTCTGAAAAGACTGTTGCATGTAACGCATCTACTTTAGCAAACCAATTCAAAAATGACTTTTAATGAAAGGAACAGACTGCTTTCCATCTGTATGTAGCTTCTCCCATGATAGCAAAAAATATTATCATGAAAACAGCCATGGTCACTGGGATCTCTTCAGTTCAATAGTGGAAATGCTGTCTTCTCTAAGTGCACTAGCTAAAATAAATTACTTTTGCTATAAGGTGATAGCTGAATTTAGAAGACCTTGTACTCTCAAAAACCACATTATAAAAATAGAGGTTTTTAAAGGGGCCAGTGGAGGGAATGATATTAATGCTGGGAAGTTTAAGACTTACCACAGTGGGAGAGTCAGTATGATGAAATGACTGAGGAGTCCAGAGCCAGACTGCCTGGAAGCAAATCCTGGTTGTACTGCTTAATAATGTGGCCTTGGAGAAGCTGTTCAACCTCTAAAAGCCTCAATTTCTCCATCCAAAAAGTTGAGGTAATAACAGTATTTGTCTCATTAGGTTGTCTAAACAAAAATTAGGTAATGTACATGAATCTCTTTGTAAGCTATAAAGTGATCTAAGAATGACAGTTATAATTCTGCCATCTCTGTTCTCCTGTGTATGAGCTGAGGGCTCACTGACATGATGATGATTTTCTAGGGACGCACTGGGAGAGGTCCTAGGTCTTGCTCTCCTTCCATGGCCTGATCTTAAGCAACTCATTTCCTATCTTGACTCCTCAGTTTCTTTATAAAATGAACACAATGCCTAACACATGTGAGGAGCTCAATAAATTTTGGATGCCTGGAAGAAGAGAAAAAAGGAGGAGCTGATTAGCAGCTGAATTGGGAGAAAAGGAGAAATGGATAATGGATGGACAGAAAAATGGATGAATGAAAGGAGGAGTGGATGCTTGAACTGATGGATGGAAAGGTGGATGGATTGATGGAAGAACAGAAAGGTGAAGGGGAGAGTATATAGAAACAGAATAGTTGTGCTGTCAGATAGGAAGATGGATGAATGGATGGTTGGATGAGTAAAGGATGGGTTGATGGAAAGCTGAATGGATGAATGGGTGGATGGATTGGGTTTCATGATCTCCAATATTCTGTGACTCTGTGTCCAATTCTCAGACCCCTTTGTGAAAATCCAGCTGGTACATGGACTAAAACTTGTGAAAACAAAGAAGACGTCCTTCTTAAGAGGCACAATTGATCCTTTCTATAATGAATCCTTCAGCTTCAAAGTTCCCCAAGAAGAACTGGAAAACGCCAGCCTAGTGTTTACAGGTAGGTAGCATTCAAGACCCTGATGAACTCCAGGTGAGGCATATTCCACTAAACTGTCCTAGAGAAAGAAGGCCTCTAGATCAGGTGATGTCTAAGAACTTTATGCCTGGTATTCAGCTACCTTGGTTTGAAAACACTTACCATTTGTGAACTTGGGCAAGATTCATAGAACCATAAAGCATAATTGTTACAAATGTAAACTTAGGTGCCAGATTTCCTGATACTTCCACATAATTACTAAAGCATTTAGGGCAAGTTATTTGGCCTCTCTGAACCTCAGTTTCTTCATGTATAAAACATGGGCGAGAGTAATGCCTGCTACATAGATTTGTTGAGAAGATTAAATGACTTATGACTTTGAAATAATAAGTCACTATGTTAGTTTTGATGCTATGACTCAAGTAGCTTATAGAAAAACATGAGAAACTAGGATCACCTAACTCAGAGAAGCAGCTTTTGATGACTTCTGAGAGGACATAGTGTTTAAGTAAGTCTTCATGTGCCACTCTGTGGTTGAATTTAATCTCTTGTTCCCAGTGCATAATTTAATCTGTTGTTTCCAGGATGTATTAGTTATCTATTGCTACATAACAGATCACCCCAAAATTTAGTGACTTAAAACAACGCTCCATTTATTATCTCATAGTTCCTGTGGGTCAAGAATCCAATCATAGCTTTGCTCAGTGCTTCTGGCTGAAGTTCTCTGGCAAGGCTGCCATCAAGGTATTATTGACTGGGGCTTGCAGACTCATCTAAAGACTCAACAAGGAGAGGATCTGATTTCAAGCTCGCCTACATGATTGTTGGCAGGATGCAGTTCCTCACAAGCTGTTGGACTTAGGGCTGCAGTTCCTTTCTAGGTGTTGGCCAGTGGCCTTCCTCTGTTCCTCCCTACATGGCTTCTCCATAGGGCATTTCCCAGCATGGCATAGGGCTTCTGCTGGAGTGGGCAATTAAGGGAGCAAAAGAGGATGAGCAAGGTGGAAGCCAGAGTCTTTTTGTCACCTAATCTTGGAAATGACATCCTATCACTTTTTCCATATTCTGTTCATTAGAAGCAATTTAGTAGGTCCCACTCACTTTCAAGAAGAGGGGATTACCCAAGGGATGAATACTGGGAGGTGGGCTCATTGGGAGCTCTCTTAGAAGCTGCCCACCACAACAGAGAGTTAATAGAAGTAATGAGTGTTATTCCTTGCATCCTATCCACAACCGGGGCTGCACCTGTGTTATTGCTCATATTCTTCATAACCCGTCCCGTCAGGTCAGTATCGTCCTTGTCAGCTGACAGGGCTAGGGACTGAAGCTTAACACCTAAGCAATGTAGTCAGAGGCTCAAATCCTGGTAGTCAGGATTCAAGCTGTGGTCTTGCTTGTTCCAAAGATCAAGGGATCTGCATTTCCTCAAGCATCCAGGCAGTGCAGGCACTGGGGACCTGGCAGCACACTTTGAGGAATCCTGCTCCTGAGTAACTGGAAGCTGTCATCTGTTTAGAGCTAGTCTAAAAATCCTTCACTGTAGGGCTCCCAAGAGAAAAGGCTATGGCTGAAAAATCTGTGCCTGCGGGGCTTTCTCTACATAGGCTTATTGCCTCACATCACCAGGAATGCTCCTGCTCTCACACCCCTGCGAGGCAGGCTGGCCCTGGGCTTCCTCAGGTCCTGTCACCCAGACAGTCTGCATCCAATCTGGGGATGCCCACCCTCAGCAGACGTAATGATCCCATCTGATGCAGCCTGTGGTAGCTGCTGTGCAGGGCCCCCACTTTAGGTCAGGAGAGGACCCCAGGGGGCATTGAGAGCCCATATGGAAAGCCTGATCCTCTGATATTTTACTTAACATTTTATGACCAAAGTAGCACATGCTTGTTACAATGAGCGGCACAAGATGTGTATGGACAGAAAATCAGAAGAGCGGAGGTTAAACACATGGGCTGTGGAGCCAGGGCCTAGGTACTGGCTGTGTGGCCTTGGGCAAGATCTGTGAGCTTAGGTGTTTCTGTTCTGTACAATGGGGATGACCACACAAGAACACCTCAAGGGATCGTGGTGGATTATATGAGAGCAACACGTGATCAGTGCCTGACACCACCCGGCATGTAGCAAGCACTCAATAATTGTTAACTCTTATACAAGGAAATTTTGTTCTCTTCCTCATCCCCATTCCAGTCCCTTCTCTCTGAAGTCAGCACCCTTTAGCATCTCAGTGTGTGTCATTTCACACTCTTGTCCTTGTTCACATGAACATCATCCACATAGAGGAGATTCAGTTCCTTTAAAAAGTTATTCATTAATGCAAGAAGTGTGTATGAAGCACCTTCCCTGTGCCAGACACAGTTTCCAAATGCTATGAATATAGCAGTGGACAAAACAGACAATTCCTGCTCTTGTGGTTTCTGGACCATTCTGTAGACATCACTCTGAAACTTGTTCTTGTTTCATTAATGATGCATGTGTCCAATTCCTGTAGGTCAGTGCAAATACGAATGGACCTAGCTCTTTATTTTTAATAACTGCATTATATGCCATCCTTTGGAGTACTATGATTAAAGTAGAGTTTTGTTATTCATTCAGGAGGGTGAGGGGTTTGTAACAGAGCTTCAGAGAGGGTGATAAGACCCTCCCCAGAAAAATATACAAAAGGACAGAAAATTCTGCATACAGTTCAAAGGGGTGTTTTTTTTAGTCTCTTGAATTCCATGTGTGAATCTCATAAGGCAGAAGCCTCAAACTGGAGGGGCACTCCCAGCCCCACATACCCCCCAAACATCTCTCATTCCACCCACCAGACCTCAGGTGGCAGGTCAGCTGTACCCATCAGGCCTGTGCTGTGTCCATGCATGGAAGACCGGCTTCTTTTGTTTCAGTGGTGAGGGTTTGGACCCCTAGTTCAAGAGTTCCTCTCTTCAGGTTAAAAGCTCATTGAAATATATTCGTTATAGAGAAGGAAGGATTACAGACCTCCTTGCTCACTTAAGTAAGGGATTCACAACCCCGGCTGTGCTTCAAAATCAGCTGAGCCCATGCTGCTAGTCGCCAGACCCCACTCCCCATCACGCTGAGTCAGACGGACTAAACTGGAGTCCTGGCCTCTATATATACATCTGTATTTTTAAAGTACCCCAGATATTTCTAATGCTCAGTCATCAGGGCTCAGAACCACAGCTGCAGGTGGAAATCCCAACCAGGGGCCATGGGCTGGAATAATGGAAGAAATGTAGATGGAACTGGTATAGATCTAGGCAAAGCTACAATTCTCCTGAATTCCAATCTGTGAGGTTCTAACTTGCTGTATGTATCAGCTGGGGGAAGGAGCTGTCATCTCCAGGCTAAGGATCTGAAACCCAGCACATTAGCTTGTTTCCAAACACTTCATAACAAAAGTAAGGTTGATATGCAATTTAAGCATTTGCTGAGAATTCTGGTAAAAGCCTGTAATTAGATGGTGGGCTGGGCTTTCTGAGTAGTTCCATTCATGTGTGCAATGAGGGTTCTTCTGCAGTTTTCAGTTAGGTGATTTTTGCTGCAGAAGCTTAAAAGAGAAAAGGGGTAAATTGCTTTTTGACTCCTGAGATAGCAACATGTGGTCCAGAGGCCTCCTGGGAAAGTAAAGCAGAGTTGGCCACTGTGGTTATTGTGCTATTATTGGGAGGAGGTGTGGGGAAGAGAAAAAAGAAAAAAAAGTACAGCTTGATGGTGGCCATTCAGAAAATTAAAAATAGAATCACCATATGATCCAGCTATTCTACTTCTGGGTATACACCCGAAAGAATTGAAAGCAGGGCTCAAACAGACATCTGTACACCCATGTTCATAGCAGCATTATTCACAAAGGTGGAAAGATGGAAAGGTGGAAGCAACCCTAGTCTCCCTCAATGGATAAACAAAATGTGGTCTCCACGTGCAATGGCATGTGGTCTATACATACAATGGCATATTACTCAGCCTTAAATGGAAGGAGATTGTGACCATGCTTCTAACATGGATGAACCTCAAGGTCATTATGCTAAGTGAAATAAGACAGGTATGGAAGGACAAACACTGTATGACTCCATTTGTATGAGGTGCCTACAGTAGTCAAATTGATAGAGCCAGAAAGTGGAATAGAGGTTATCAGGGGCCAAGGGGAAGGGAGAATGAGGAGTTATTGTTTCATGGGCAGTGGTTTGGTTTGGGAAGATCAAAATATTCTGGTGATGGATAGTGGTGATGGTTGCACAATAATGTGAATTAATGTCACTGAGTTGTATACCTAAAAATGGTTAAAATGATCACATAGATTACATGCATTGTACCACAGTTTTTTTTTTTTCAAAAGAAAGAAAAAGGAAAGAAATGGAGTCTGAGTTCTGCAGAACCCAAGCAGGCAGTGACTGGGACGTTAAGCCTGGGCTCTTGTAGGCTATTATCCTCCTGGAGAAAGTCACCTTCCTTGCATTGCCACTCTGAGGGGCTAAGTGTCATGGTTACAGGCCAGACCCTTGAACCAGATACCCAGGGTTCACTATGTGATCTTGGTACTTTCCTTGGCCTCTCTTTGCTTCAGTGTCCTCAGCTGTAAGCTGGGAATAATGGTCCTTACTTTGGTAGAGTGTTGTCAAGTCCAAAATGGGTTAACATATGTAACGTCTTACAGTGGTGCTTGGCTCAGAGAGCATGTTCATGCTCCTAAGTATGAGTTATTATGATTGCTTGAAAGACCGAATTTATGTGGCCAGATGCCACACTGAGGCTTTTCTGAAAGTGGGTGGGGCAAATACACATAGATAAGTAATGCATTCTACTCACTTTGTCTACTCTGAGTCTGAGATTCTGTGGAAAGCCCAAAAAGGGAAGGAAAAACTTGTTTTACAGACTTACCATGGTGGGTATCATCTTATCTTCTGTCCCCCTCCCTCCCAACATTAGAGCAAGGCCCTTTTGTCTGCTTGGAGTTGAGGTTTTGGGGAAATCACTGGGTTAGAAGGAACTAAATATTATGTGATGCCCCTCTAGTCCTG